CTCACGCGCCCCGCCGCCTCCTTTTGCGAGATGGTGCACTCGCAGAAGTCGAGCATCGCCTTCCACGACTCGTCGTCACCGAGCATCGATGCCAGAACACTCGGCAACGACAAGTCGTTTCCTATTTTTGCGACGAGGATACGCCGCCACCCCTCCCATGCGGGGCAGGCGATGATCGTATGCTCTGCCGTGTCCAAGTCGCAACCACAATGGTGGCACTCTGCCGTCGGCTCGGCTCCGTTCCGGTGTAGGAACTAACCGAAGCAACCATGCCCAGTGAGAATCTGCGTGAGCCGGAAAGTGAGGCGTCCTCTGTCACGATTCACCCAATTCACAAGAACCGGGCGAATCGCCTCGACGGTCCTACGACCAGCCGAAGGATCGGCCAGCCACCTGGACCATGACTCTAGCACGGACCGCCGAGATTGGGCCCTCCGCGCTCTGACCACACTGGGGCTGGGACGCGCCACGCCCCGGGCACGAAGGTTATCTCGCCACTGATAGTCAGCGGCGAGCGCCTCTGCCTCCAGGACCCAAGGCGGCGTCCAAGCCAGTACACACGCCGCCTCGAAAGAGATGGTGCGATAAATACGGATGATCCTGACCGCGATGGTGCGTTGCGGCCGTTGCAGCAACTTCGCTACTCCCCACGGCCAGTGACTGGCCCCACGCGGGCGCCTCGTATAAGGCCATTGACCGCACCACCCCCGTATAGAGACCGCGCGTCACCTGGTCAGGCCCCCCGATGTTGGGAAGAAGCCAGCTTAACGCGCCGGCCACCCCCAACAAACGAGGGACCAGGTTCTGAAAGTGAGCACGGAAGGTCCAACGACTGTCCAGTATGAGGCCGAGGTACTTCAACTGCACCCCGACCCGATACGGACGCCTCCAACCGCGATATGGGCATCGACAGCGCTCTCCGGGGCCTGTGGAACCATGGCCTCGGATTTACTGAGTGTCACGTCGAGGCCCAATCTCCTGATTTTGTCGACGGCATGCGCCACCCCAACGGTGGCAAGACGAGCAAACTCAGCATTTTTTTTACACCTTGGGTTAAATTATTGGAGTTTTAGTAAGGATACCTAATTTTTTGGGAATAGTGAAGCTTCCAAACAGTGAAAGAATTTTTCAAATCGGCTTAGTAGTTTCGGAGCCTATTGAATACAAACAAACAAACAAATCTTTCCTTTTTATAATATTAGTATAGATATTAATTATTACAAATAATAAAAACGCTGACTTAGGCGGCGGTTTTTATTTGAACCAGTTCTAAATTATAAACTAAAATTCTATGAAAAATTACCCATATTTATCTGTAATACGAAATGATATTCATTTATTTTTCGTAGTTTCCTTCCTTCTTGCGTCGATAATCCTCAGTGCTGAGGGTCGTGGCCTCCTCTAATAACTTTCTCCTGCATCATCTTGCGCTATTCCTGCCTGTCCTCGGCTGTGTGGATAGCAACGTGGACTGAGATATTGAGAGTGGAGCGTATTTGGTCCAACTAGCGCATTGGATTTCTGCCTCTGTGCCTTCTCCCGCATACCTTGCCTGTTACCAGCAGCTTTTCCAGATTGTCACCTCTCTTTCTGGCGATATGTCCAAAGCTCTCGAAACTTCTCCGCGCGCATGTAGTGCTGAGGCGCATTGGAATCTTGAGCTCGGTAAGAATGGATTCGTTGGTTCTGTGTTCTGTCCAACGAATCCCGAGCATTTTCCTCCAGCACCACATCTCAAACGCATCGATGCGTTGGCGATCGGCTTTCTTGAGGGTCCAAGTCTCTGCGCCATAGAGAAAAATAGAAAAGACGAGGGAGGTGACGAGCTGCTTTTGGTATTCCTCGAGATGTTTCTGTCCGCCCAAACACGGTTCATTTGGGACATAGCTCTCTTTGCCATACTGATTCGCCTTCTGAGGTCCTTTTCGGAGGATCCATTACTAGCTGTGACGGAGCCCAGATAAATGAAATCCTCTACGACTTCCAGGTTTAGCTTATTCGTAGTTTAATAAGATATTATTGTTAGTAGTATTATTTACTAGTCGAAATACTTAATGAGAAAGATATCCAACAAAAATAGTTTCGTTCTAATAAATTAGCATAGTAATAGTACAATGAACTACCAATTTATTTTGGTGATTCTGAATTTAAGCAAACATATTGATGAGAAGAATTCATTTTTACTTTGCAAATTTGTAAATACACGCTCTGTAGCAATGTACGGACATATAGTAATATGAAGAAACAATAATAGCATCTACAAATACATAATTATGTACTACATTTACTATAATTAATACAACATTTATTAATTAAATTAATGAAATTGTGGTTTTAAAGTTTTAGGGGTGTATAAAAAATGGGGGGCGCTGAAAAATAATTGATTTTCAAAGGGGGCGGTAAAAGAAATAAGTTTGATAATCACTGATCTAAAGTAATCCTATAACAGAAGGTCTAGTAACAGAAATGGCAAAATATTGTATATTTCTCATTATATTTTTGACATTACAGTCAAAACCGTTTACTGCGACATCGTTTAATACAACATGCCGTATATAATAACCTAGAACAAAGGTCCCGGCTGAATGCCATATGACCGCCTTATTAAAAATATTGCTTTCTACGACATTGGTAATAACGACATACCTCATAAAACGACCATATTTAACTAATATTTCGGAGAATTAGATCTGTTAGAACGACCGGTTAAGCTGTATTGTAAACAATTTGAATAGGTATCCACATTTGTCTTCAATGGCTATTAAAATCAGGAAAGAAAACAATAGGATTTAGTTTAGTAGGGTCTTTTCTAATTCTTAGAAACAAAACACGTGCATGCAGAGAGTCAAAGCCCGCTTCTTCATATCTCTTCAGTTAGTTTGTACTTATCTATACACAAGACGCACCAAAACTTTGTGGAGTTATTCGTGAAACTTTCAAAATGTCGCAAAGAAAAAGAAAACAAATTAATATTGAAGAAAAATCGCGTAATATGTAAATATATTTTACCAATAATTTCCTATCGATTTGTTTGTACTTGCACGATACACATTAGACATCACCGGTTGTAACGACTATCGGTTTTTACGACTGAATATGAGCAGTCCCTTCGATGTCGTTATAACAGATTTTAACTGTATATCCTTTACTTGACAGAGTGTTTTTGTCATTTATAAGTAATCTATAGAATGCCAGAAAATACAACTAGCCAGAAATATATTCATGTGAACTGATAATATCTAATAAATATATTATATTTAAGCAGCATGAAACATTGTATTAAATTATTTTTAGTCAAGGAGGGATCATGTGTCAAGTTAAAAACTGTGTCTCACAAGTTTCAACTATCTAATGTCACAGTTTCAGAGTAACTTAATACCCTATACCTTAGTACTTGATACCCTTGTAGGGAGTAGGCAAGTACTCACACACTAAATGCAGCTCCACATCATATGAGGCCTACGTCATATCACCTGACTCTTGGGCCCAGTGGCCAGTATTTTTGTTAATTCGTTTTTGAATATAATCATGCCTGGTTATTATTTTCATTCAGTGTGCTTTGCAAAATTCGCCTGACAAATACAAATATCAAACCTCACCATTGATTATCTTCTGTACACTGCTTCACATCAGATCTATTTTGAATACTATATAAAACAGAAAACTGAAAGTGGCAGAAGGCCTTAGTACAACCAGCCATTTCAGCCCCTAGCTAGGTGGTGCAAAGACCTCCAAACGGTGGCCAGCAAGAGGTCGATGAGGAGAGCGGAAGACCGGGCTCATTGGTGTGGATTGGGAGAAGCCTATGTCCAGCAGTCGACAACTTAGTCGGACATAGTCCAAAATTATAAAATATAGTATTAATTTTGTAATAAGGAATTACTGTTTATGTTCAAATAAATATACAACAAAAATATTGAAATCATTTTGAAAATGGTGAGATAGTTTTTATTGTTGTTTTTTTTACCAGTTTTCTGACCACAGCTTTGTATTCATAGTCACAGATATCTAGATACGCAGTCAGAGCCACATGCTCATTGGATAAAAGGTCAGATAAAAATAAATCTAAGAATGAGTATGTACTTAAGGTTATAATTTCTTAAGTATTCCTTCACTATTTTTATTGCTTTTCAACAATACAGAGACACACTGGGTTCCTTTGCTTAATTAAATATATTCATTCTGGGCTAATCTATATAATTCAATGCAAAATGCTTCCTTGACTTTAACATCATTATAATATACAATACTCCAGAATGAATTAACAACACAAGATGTAATTGCCTTAAAAATTCAAACTAAAACAACATAAGCCCTTAATCTCTTTTAAAATTAATATTTTAAACAGTTTTTTTATACTATGCAAAACTGAACTACCCTCTTCACTGAATGACAGACAGGTGAGTGATTCTGTCTAAGATTTTTTATAAACTATATAGTTTTTAAGGTAAATGATAAAGGTTTTTCTTTACATGTATGTATAATAATTATGGTTAAATTAATCAATTTCTAACTATTTTCCATAGTTCAATAGATGGAAGGGATAATGTCCCCTATTAGAACCATACTATTGACCACACAATGCCTTGTTTATATATAAAATTGCCAAATGTATGTGCAGATAAAGTTATTTATCATCCTTAACCAATCGGTTCGAATCCCGCCAAGGGAAGATATTTGTATGATAAATATAAATGTCTTTCCAGGGTTATGGGTGTATATTAAATATATGTATGTGTATAATAAAAATATTATATTTATTTCCATTATCTGATACTTGTAACACAAGTTCTTTACGAACTTAGCACGGGACCAGTTAACGTGGCATGATTGTGAGTAAATATTTAAACAAAAATATATATTATTTAAATCAGCCTTACCTTCAGTTTAACTTTCAGATGTGATGTTATCATCCTAATTATGGTTTACAGTACTTTAATGGTTTATGCGTGGGTTAAATACAGTGAGTAACAATCAGCCAGAATAAAAAAATAAATTACCTTGTAACAATTGGCAAATCCTTAGCAAAGTTTTCAAGGATTGTTCTTTGTGAATCTTCAGATTCTGCACTCAACATCTTCTCTAGTTCTGCTTCAGGCAGCTTGTACTAAAATTTATTACATAAAAATGATATTTATTTTGTTTAATATAACTTTAGGTATTAATTTCTTTCACAAACAAGTATTATCTTAATTTATTTGTTCTTATATTTGATGACTCAGATTCGTTTTTTTACATGGTTTGGTATGTGAATCTTGGTTTATGATTGTAATTATAATTTGTAATTGTAATCTAGTTTGTATATCTGCACTTGTCCTCTGTGGCATCATCAGTGCATACTACATCTACTACATCAGTGTGGAAGAACTGAGGAAATTGTTTATGCATACCAAATACGTACTTAAGATCTTTCATTTAATGTGTAAGTATAGAAGCTTATTTCATATGATTCTGTTAAATAAACATTCAATCATGAGGACGACTTGCACTTGAGGCTAAATAGATTTTTTTACCATAATTTCAACTAAACAGAATGAAAATTTTGTATATGCGATAATGTTTGGAAATTTCCATTAATAAAGAATACTTACTTTTTCAGGGATTGGTTCTATCTCTGCAAAAATTGTTTTCCAGTAAGACCAGACGAACATTATTAGGAGTATGTGGTACAGCACCAAATAAATCCATTGTTGGACTGTGCTTTGTATTGTAACTGTAATATAATTAAGTCTAATGATTTACTATTAATTAAGTGTAAAATTGGTAATAGTCTAAAACACTTACAAATACAGAGTTGAATAACGTAGGCATAGTATGACCAAGTTATTATAGACACTATGAATGACACTGGAAGCCATTTGAATCCTTTCCAACACCACATGTTGCACGTTCGACAACAGGCACAATAACCAGGTGATGAAATCCTACTATTCTGTACTGATGAAGCCATTTCGATTACATTAATAAATCAAATTGAAAATAATCCATGTTCACCTAAAAAAGAGACAATAAAAAGTGACGACACTGACGGTCGACTGAGTGACATTTCCATTTTGTAAAACGTCAATTTAATCTTGGCATAGAATATAAAAATATAAGTTAATTGGGATGCCATTGCAACGGCTGCCTTACCCTTCAAACCAAAAACCATTACTGCTTCACGGCAGAAATAGGCAGGGTGGTGGTATCTACCTGCGAGGACTCATAAGAGGTCCTACCACCTTACTAGTGGAGGACCTCTTGTGAGTCCATCCATACTAGTGTTATTAATGTGAGAGTATTTCTTTGTTATATTTTCACATCAAATAACTCTGAATTGTTTGGGGTCAGGAATTCACACTACTTTTTCCTACGTGATGGTGACGATAGGCTGAGTGTTTTTTGTGATAAGTGTTAGTTTAGCCTTTAAGATCTTCGCCAACAGAGTCCTACATATCCTGTGCACCCGCTGACACAGGAAACTTGTAAGAGAATCATACCCCAGCTTGAAAAAAATATCTCTGTTACCGTCAAATTTTAAAGCACATTTCTTATCCACTATTTCCTGCAAACTAAAGCGCCTTATTCACAATCCATCTTGCTGTACGTCCCGCCAAGGCCATGCACGATGCACGATGCATTTAGCGCTTTATTCACGATCCATCACGGCTGTACGTCAGCTCAAGGCCGCAAGCGCGAACAGTATAAATCGAACGAATTAAATGAGAGGGTTTTAATTTATTTAAAATGCTAGCTGTTTTATCAAAAAGCCAAAAATGGGAGTCCTTCTGATGTTGTCAGCTGCAGCAGCAGAAGAGAGGCAAAAAATAGCAAGAGGTTTTGGATGATTTTTTTAAACGTGCAGAGTATACTCAAATAATTAATATCATTTTTTACGCACGCTATCAATCCTTGCAGCTTCCCCTAAAATGGACCTAAAAAATTGTAATACGTTTATAATTTTTTGTTTATTCATATAGTCTGCGCTTGAGACATTCCACAAACATGTGGAACTTATATCTTTCAATAAATCTTGGAAGTGTTTCACGATCCATTTTGACGTGCAGTCTCCTCTCGAAGCAAGCTCTAAATGTTAAATTTGCTGTACAGCAAGTCTACACACGATCAAGCACGCACGACGCAGGACCGCTCTGACGTACGTCAGCGTTATTCACTGTCTATCTGCACGACGTTCGCGGTGGTGGGGGCACTCGCTGGACGCAAAATCGGTCGTGCAAATCCAGCAAACAATTAATAATAATTATCGACGTACGTCAAGCCTATTCATGATCCTTTTGCATCGTGCATCGTGCATGGCCTTGGCGGGACGTACAGCAAGATGGATCGTGAATAAGGCGCTTAATTCAATAATTTGCGATTCCATATTCAGATTTATAAGAGATGGCGGCACTGGTTCTTAATACCAAATCCAGGATAGATTTTATTGTAATGCAGCATGTAGGTAGTAGATCGTAATTTTATAGCATATATGACTCATGACGTATTACAATGTAATATATACTTCTTACTTGTTCTTACTTGAAACTATCAGTCATAAGTTGATGTCATTGTCAATCTGTTTTATTAGCGTTTTTTAGTGTTTTTGTCAATGTATCTAATGTAACTAAAACAAATTTTACTGTTAATTTTAGCTTATTAAGACCTTATTCATTAAAGGTTTCTCCTATTAAAGCGATTTTTACTATTTAATAATTCTTAAAAAGGTAAGTATATTATATTTAATTTCTGTAAATTTATTTGCGTGTATTATTTTACGCCGTACGTGAATGTTTTTGAATATTTCAGAAAGTTTTAGATTTTGTTCTCAAAATAAAGTTATAAGAAAAAATGTAACGGGTTTTTGTACATATCAAAAATAGCGTATAACTATTATAGCGATATGGTTTTAAGCTTTTTTACTTCAAAACTCATTATGAAAGAATCACGATGAAATACACTGATACATAATAGTCGAATAATTGGCATTGATGATGGATATTGGCTATAAACCGAGCACCACTAGATCTTGACCATAGTGCCAAGTACCTATCTATTATCTTAAGTATATTATTATATGGACTTTTTGGCGGGAAAGCGAGGTGTCAAGTTGTGCGATTTGTTTTATTTTGTCTATTTAGTGTTTCTTCAGGCTTAAATGTGTAATAATGGTGGTTTATTAACTGTTTAGTATTTGTGAAAGTGCACAAATGTGGGAAAATGAAACAAAGCCGTTGGACGTAACTTCTCGGGTTCCTCCAAAAAGTCCACTGAAAAAATCTCAGTAAACGACCACCATTTTAATGAGATTATATTTCATCTTATTTCATTTAATTGCATCCCAGTTGATTAATGTCTCAAATTCTTCACTTTATTTCACTCCATATTAACATGTTTCATTAAAGTATCCCATATCATATAATCTCATTTCATTTATATTTTTATTTATTTCATGCCATGCCATGTTTCATATTAAATTAATCAGCTTCATTTCATTTCATAATATCATATTTCATAAAAAATATATATATAAAAGATTAGGCTGTATGGTGTAATACTTTTGTCTTTCCATTTGGAAAAATAAAACTACTACTACGACTATCTATGGTATTAACAAAAAAAAAATTTAAGGTATTATCTATGCCGATGGCCAAATTGTTTAGTTTGTCGAACTTCTTTGGTTTCGAAATTCAAACAGAAATTTCATTTTGATAACGTTCAATACTTACTACCTATCTTGAAACAAAATAATGGAAGTCAAAGAATGCAACGATTTGGACGAAGAAGTAATAATAGTCATTTGTGTGTATTAGTTGGTAAATATTGATTCAACAAACTTACCAACATGGTGTATTTCAGAACCAATTCATTGTCGACGACGTGAGTAAAATAATTAAAGAAGCTATAGAAAATTCAATTGGAGGCACTGCTTATCAACACAACAATGTCAACCAATGGACTTCAGCAGTTGTTGAGTCATGTCTGGGGCAGTTGACTAAGTTACAAAAACCATACAAATATGTAGGTACGTGCGTTGAGAATCTAGATTATTTTAAGTAACACAGCATGCATAAAATCAAAAATCATTTATTTTAGGGTCCCTTGTATAAGCTCTCTTAGCAAATAAAAAAACAATGTTTCAAATTGTATTTTTTTAATTGCAAATGAACCTTGAATCATGGAGTTTGCAAGACTCATTTGCATGACTTTTGGAGCTATCACACTGGAATTAACGCTTGCTTTTATTGTGATAGCTAATCTGACCATCAGGAAGAGAGAGACTTATTAAATCATTAATAAAGTAATAGCTTAAGGAGGGTGGAGCAGTATACTCGCATCTTTTATGCTGTCATTGAACAAACTATTATTTAGAATTTTCCAGTATTTTGTACAGCATTTAATAATTCAAATTAAAATATATAATTACAAAATTGTAATATTAATGTATTAAAGGAGCACTATTTATCGATTTAGTATTAGTTATATGTATTTATGTTATGTATTTCATTATATATGTATGTGTTGTATGTTGTATCTATATGTTATTTGTGTGTAATTGTGTATGTATAGTCCGATATATTATGTATTAGTATTTTTTTTATTATTATTGTTATTGTGTATTGTATCAATAAGTAAATTGACTAGATTGTACTCTTCTACCCACTTATGTAAAGCTCTCCCTCTAAATGTACAATAAATAATTATTAAACACTAAAAGTGTTTACAGTATTTGGAGTAATTTGGAAGACTGGCTTCTAAAATGTTGAGCATCTATAAGGAGCTAATTGAACTTCAAATCTCCACAAAAGCTTATAAAGCACAATTCTTTTTTTTTTTATTGCCCTTGTAGGCAGATGATCATACGACCCACCTAATGGTGAGTGGTTACCGTAGCCCATAGATTTTAACAATGCTAGGGGCAGAGCCAAATCGCTGCTTATCATTAAGTATTCTCCACAAGACTCGTTTGAAGAGGAGCTCATTCAAAGCTGGATGGTATGTGGCAGTAAAGAGCTGGAAACGCATTGTGGACAATGCTGCGGTTCCAGGTAGAATGGATGGCTGTGCCCCTGGCATTGTTGATGTCTATCATTGATATTGTTCACTATCATGTGGGCCGTGTGATTGTTTGCCCACAAAGGCATTAAAAATTTAGAGAATTACCAATACACCAATATATTGGTAATTTGAATAAATGAATTTTCTATTTTATAAGATAAAAGTTAAACCTCTCTAATGAAGAAAAGCTAAAATGTGTAAATTTACTTTTATCCAATATTTGCTTGTTTTTTACAGTGACCTGCACAATACTGCAGAAGAATGGTGCAGGACTGCATACAAGTTCTTCTTGTTATTGGGATAACACTACTGATGGCTCATGCACGGTCCGTTGGGAGAATAAAACTATGTACTGCATTGTCTCAGTCTTTGGGCTTGGCATATAACATGGATTTATTATATTCATTTACTGGCTTAAAATCTCTTTTATAATACTAATAAAGCAAATTTTTAGTATACTGATAACATAATTATCAAATCTGTATGTTTTATTATGAACTCTTATGTTTCAATTAATAAATAAAGCTTTTATTTTACACTAAATGGAAAAGTATGCTATGTCATTTTCCAGTATATATGCATAGAGAAATAAAGTGTTAATAAACAGATAAGTTTGTTCATTTATGGACAAAAACTTTGGGAGAACAAAGAACTTTGTACCTAAACAACAAAACCTAAGAAAGTAAAAATTGGTTTCATTGAATCTTCGATTTGATGTATATAATTTGTATGCGTTTTCTTGGATGTAGTCTTGTTTTGCATTCCACTGAATATAAATACTGAAAATTCTATTCAAAAGTACAAATTGTGTAAGAGGGAAATTGGAGCATGGTGGTCTCTTACGAAATATATTTTGAGGCTGTTAATTTTACTAGAAAAATCTCAGATTATCTAATAAAAGGCTTCTGTTAGGGCACAACATTGTCACATACATTTATCAGGAAAAGAGATTTCACTTCGAGATGTTTAGGTGCCGAACATGAGGAGTATTGGTTATATTGAGGTGTGTTTGATTACAGGAGCTTTCTGAGAAGGCCCATTGAGCGATTATAAAGAAACCAGTATCATGCGTGATTCCATAAAGAAAACGTTGATCTGAATTTTTTATATTGCTGAATGAATATAAAACAGTATCAGCTTCTTTTTTTTTTACTTTTATTGCATAAATGAGTGAACGAGTTGACGACCCACAGTTGCTCACTTTGTAATAAAATTGAGGTCTTAAAATTTTTGTTGACACGAGTAGGTACCTACCTACTTTAGAACAGTGCTTCTACATTTAACATATTATTATGGAACGTTTACCTAACATTGGTAAGTACTGTTCACCGTTCCTAAATACTGAATTGAAATAAAAACGTGGTCCCTATTCAAGATCCTCCATCGTTCTGTTCGAAAAGTGGCAAGACAATGTTCAATGAACTGACAAAATACAATTGTATAAAATTTTACAATTATCAGAAAAACACAGTTAATAATACTGCATTGTATGCAGAGCATAGTAACTTACTATTTGTGTAGATTGAGCATTGTAAACCAAACAAAACGTAGGAAAGGTATCATGAAAAAATCATGAAGAAATAAAATTACCGATCGAAGGTGATCATCAAATGATGACTTCGTTTATTTAACGATGAGCAGCAAAACCGGCTTTCCAGAATCTCAATACAAAGTAATTTAAATGACGGGTTCCACAATATTCACAACTACATAGTGTAGTCTAGATCTAGTGAATCATATCTAGTGTAATTAACATTACGTAATAGATTTTTTGTGGGTATGTTCCCGGAGATAAAATTTTACTTAAATCATGAATTTTTTCAAACGTTCCCGCTAAAGCTCCTTGGCATATTTGTATCACGTGACCATCATCGATCCAATGGTTGAACGCTTCTCGGGTCCATTCAACTCAACTTTGCGAGCTCCGTGGAGTGGCGTGGAGAGGGCAACTTCACAATTCCGATTCTATTCATAAAAGGAAATGTTTTTATATTGCTGTCTCTCTTACTCATGTAAAAAATTGTAGTGTTTGAGTGAAGTAGCAATATGTTTGATTGGAAATTATTGAAAGCTGGGCCAGGCAGGCCACTTCAGACCAGTCGCCATGTAAATTTTTTTGATGTGGGTGTTGTGTCTCGGCACGTCAAATGCTTCAATGAATTTTATTATTCTCAAGAGAACATTGATTTCGTGTAAATCGTTATATTATTTGTAAATTCTTGCTGATTCTTAGTCCATATTGTGAACAGTGAAACATATTGTGTTGTGATTGTGTACCATTTAATCTGGTGACGGCGGGTAATAGATTGGAGGGGGAGCTGCTAAAATACTACGATAGGATAGTAGAGACGTTTTACTACTCGGGAAGTCGGGAGCGCTAAGCGCTTACAAAATTTCTCATCTCGACGCGAGCGATTACGGTCTTCCATTTTGTTTTAATATGCAGTTTGGTTGTTTACGGTGTGCATCGTGTACAGAGCAATTGCAAGCCACGGTGAGTACTCGGTGAAGTGTTCGCATTGTAAATACGTTGTCTGCGCATGTAGGCCTTACATGACAATAAACATGCAACAATGAATAAGTAATAGTATTCGATTTTGTGCACCGCACGGCGCAGTCGTGGTAGATGGGTTGCGGCACGTCATTATTTAGGAGAAGCACCCCCGCGGGTATGCTCAGTGGTACGTAAACATCGTTCATCAAACACAAGGTGAATTAATTTTGTATCATTTTAAATTGTAGTTGATAATCATGCCGTGATACTGTGAAGTGTAAATTTAATAAACACGTTACAAGTCTCATTTTAGTAATCTATCAGTATTATTATCAGCTGATTACTCTAAGCGGCCGTCCGCTAACGTCAATGTTATGTATTCAATCACGGGCTACTTGAATACTAGAGTACATCTACAATAAAATTCTCTTGTGTGGATATTGATCTTGCCTAGGTGAGTACACGACTTTTGTAACTTGTGTATTTACCTAATCATTGCATATACAGGTGTCAATAATTTTAATTACAACATTTCTAAATTGGTTTTATAATTAATTTTATTTGATCAAGAAACAGTAGTAGTTTAATCTAAAATAAATAAATTCTAAAAATAAAAGTAACCTTAAGAAATCTACAGTTTAATAGTACTTTAAATACATCTTAGAAGAGTATTATTGTTTTTTGGTATGGTCTATGAAAATAATGAAATAAAATTAAAACCTTCATCACTCAATAATAAGTTAGTCTAATGATCTAAATGATATTAAATAAAAAATTTGATTGATTTTGAAATTTACATAATCTGCACATTGAGATTACAAGATTTGTCTTCAATAACAGTTGTCTTTAGTGATAAACAAAAAAAATCCAGTTATTAAACTCAGACCTTAGTCGAATGTACTGAAAACTTCCTTTTCATCTATTTGCTGTGACTTAAATATTGTCTTCAACTAGCTAGCACAATTTACCTTCAATTTCAATGGTGTCAATGGAGGTAGGACCTCATGTGAGTCCACACAGACAGGTACCATCACCCCGCCCAGTTCTGCCGTGAAGCAGTAATGCGTTTTGGTTTGAAGGGCTGGGCAGCCATTGTCACTATATTGAAACCATAGAACTTATATCTCAAGCTAGGTGGCGCATTTATGTTGTAAATGTCCAGGGGCTCCAGTATCCACTTAACACCAAGTGGGCTGTGAGCTCGTCCACACATGTAAGCAATAAAAAAAAAACTTATAATCAGAAATTTGATAATGTAGAAAACGAGAGTCATCCTCTTTTGTTATATGAAATCTGGAAAAACTGCTCAGAAAAGAATGAGTATATCAATTTTCTGTAAAAACAAATACAGACTAATGGAGAATATTTAAATTTGAAACCATAGTTTTTTTATTAATAATATCGACGCTTGAAAGGCAAACATGACTAAGCGACAATGCGTGAACTTTACAGTAGACTAATTTAAAGTTGAAATACCTGAAAACAAAATTTATTTTAACGAATCTAGCTGTAGTAGAATCTAGCTAGTAGCTCTAGGAATGAAATGATTTGAATAGACCTAGAAATATATTTTTTTTGCGCATCGAATATGGTTATTGCCTTATATCATCTATGTACAAAGCAGTTATTGTCGCTTAGTCACGTTTGCCTTTCAAGCGTCGATATGATTTAAGTAAAATTTTAATAGAAAAATGTATAAAAAGTGTTGGAGTATACCTGTTCACATTACACATAATAAATAATACACAATACATATACTTAGTATTTAAAAATTTCTCAAGATATTTATTTATAATTGACATACTTAATTTTGAAAACGATGGTTGTTTTAGCAAAAATATTTATAAACATGGTAACCAGTGCTTATCAGTCCATAGACATCATAACTTGAATGCCAATGCTAATAGATTATTTTGTATTATCAGAAAATGCATCATATTTTACATTCAAAATAATATTAGAACAATCTTATTGCTTAGTGAATTTTAGGATAAACTAGAGTCCCAATAAATTTATATTAACCTGAAACATTTTAGTAAATACAAGGCATTTGATTATTGTTTAAGATCCTTCTAGGCTTTTACTTTTTTTTTGTAATTCTCGACCTAACTACTCAGGAGATCTCATGGACTTCCTGGTATCAAGGTATTCAAAGGTCTTAAGTGGATCTTAATCTTCATAGCTAAGCTATTAATTATGTAAAACACATTTGCACCATATGACAGCTAATAACTTGCTTGTCTTGAAAAAGTCATATGCTTTTATATAAATAAAAGTAAATAAAAAATTACATTGATTAAGTATAATTACACATTTCTGCCAAATCTCTCTTCTCTTCTTTGTCGCTTCCTCATTACTGAGGGTCGTGTCCACCTTGATCTAGTTTTTGCACCAGCTGCTTCCAATGTTGCCAAATACTTTAATTTTAATATTATATTTTTTCCCTTCAATTTCGTAATATAGAAAAAATATATTTCATGCCTTATGTGTCATAATATTTATAAAAAATGGCAAATACCATCAATAGTTTTTTTTTAAATGCATTCAAATTCTGTGAAATTCATGATTGTGGAGAAACGCAACGAGGGTCTTCCAATGATGCGTTTCAGTTTGAATCGGAAGTAATCATTACAAAAATGAAAGCTACCTGGGATTCCACAAATAATATTCTTCCCGTGGTGTGATGGACCAGTCTGTGCCTGTTCACAATATCACATAATATGTGAAAGACATCATTTGTAGAACGAATTTATGTTCCAAAGAAAAGTGAGCTTGTATTGAGAAAATACCGACGCCATACAAACCGACGCCATCTAGGCAGGCTTCGGACAGCCTGCCGACCGAGAGGGCTGGTGGTCGTGGCACCGATCGCTGGCCCGGCGTGCCGAGGGGGAGGGTGATGGGAGAGATGTGCTCCGCACTAAACGCTTCAATCTCCCCCCTTTGCCTTTTCATGAGTTCTGTCTCGTGCGAGGCTCGGACGTGGGTTGTTGAGCGACAGGAGGTTTTAGTCGGTTCAACTCCGACATACCCCGCCCGCCATCCCCAGTGGAGGCTGGAAGTCTGGCGATTTCCTCCTGACAAAAAAAAAACATATTTCTCGCCCTTTTAGATTTTAGCAAACAACACGGATTTTCATGGATTGTTTGGAAGCTCTTTGTCTATGGAGGGACTTTGGTTCTCTCTGTTTTCTATTGTATGTTCCGTGGCGAGTGCTAAGGAATTGTTTGAAATGATTTCACCATCTCCTTTACACTGCCGCATCGCTCGCCACCAGAATAGATTTCATACATACTACTCATCAATTGAGTGCATTTTAAGAAATCTTTTCTGCCACGAACCTTCCGGTCTTGTATGAACTCCCCACCAAAGTGCTTCAAACTAGGCTTGCGGAGAGTACTCAGTAGTATAGAGTAGGTAGGTCTCTACCCTTGGCAATGCTGACGTCCATAAGTGACGGTAATCACTCACCATCAGGTGGGGCGTATGCTCGTCTAAGGGATGTTTTTTACAGTAAATAGAATTTTATTAAAATTGAATAGTATATTGCAATAGGTGAATTAACACATTCCTTAACCTCCAGTGTATAAGAGCGATGCAAATTTTTATTTTAACTACAACAAAATTTCAGTTTCATATGTAGCGTAATGGGATAAACGTTATACAACGTGAGCGTCGAATTATCTGTCGAATAGTTCTAGTACTTCCGGTCGGTTAAAAATAACAAAAGAGGATATATTCGGTTTAGTGATTCGAACTAAATCTGATCTATTTCTGAATATAAAGTACTGAATAATCCGTCGGTCGATGATTAATACATACACAGTTGTAATTGATTTACGGAATTATATTAATGCAGCTGAAGTATTATTTTTTTCAGTTACAATTATCGTTATATATATTATTTTTTTGCAGTTATAATTATCGTTAGATCAGTGAAATATTTTTTGTATGTTTTTATTTTCATTACATCTCATTGTCACATTGAAACTGTTAGATTAAAATACATTTGTTAATGGGATGTGCTTGCAATTTCGAATACCAATTTATATTAGTATCATCGTGCACACATTAAAATGAGATTAAATTTAGGATACACTAATACAGAGACAAACAGACGAAAATACTGTTGTTTTATTTTTAACTTATATACTACAAGAGCATGTCCATGTCCATAAGATATGTAAATAGATATTATCTTCTGTTGTAAAAATAAAAATCAATGTCTGTTTGATTTGATATAAAAGGGTCATACACAAATAGAGAAAAAAAAGTGCAGCAAAAAAAATATCTCAGAATCAGTGTGAAACAAACTATTTATTATTTAACTATTGATTATCAATCTTTTAATCACTGTAACCGAGATCAATGTGTCTTATTTTTGGCATAATCGCAATTTTTATATTTTTGCGGACCACAGAAGAGACAATTTAGTCTACAAGAGATGAAAAGCTGTGATGCAGCGTAAGCTAAAATATATTAAGACAACATAATCAAACACATGTAGCCACTGATATAAACGAATACCGAAACGCAAATAAAATGTCAAAATAATCACATTAATTGGAATATAAAAAATAAAATAATAATGTCTACAGAAAGGAAAATCCCTTCGGTGGACTTATGAAACAAAACAAAATTTCGAATGATAATAATTTTACAGCCATGGTATATTACTCGTATTGAACCCCCTGAACGAAATCAATAAAAATAAAAAAAATGTTTTCGTTTCCTCTATTTACATTGATTAGATTTATAATTTTTTCTATTGCGAATATAAAATGTACTAAAAAGTTTGAGGCTCTAACTTAGAATATCAAATGTTGCCAAAATCAAACCTCTTTCTAACCAACTTTAAAAAAGGAGTAGGCCCTCGGTTCAACTATTTTTCTACTTACTACTTTCTCTACTTAGACCTACTAAGGTATGTTTCTTACACATTTTCTGTGGACATAGTCTTTTCGGTGGACATCGGGACCACAGGAAAGATGTCCACAGAA